GACATATGTAGGTTAGGAGAAAAAACGGAGAGGAAAAAAACAGATTTTTTTCTTTATTATTATGTTGGGTTTTTGGCACAATTACTCCTTGAATTTATCGTGGTTTAGTAAATTATCCCTTAAATTTTTAATTTTAACAAGTTGTCCCTTAAACTTATAAATTTGTTACAATGTGTCATATTTAACTAAATTTGCTCCAATTTTTTATTAGATTTAAAGGATTAAAAGTTAAGATATTAAAAGACTCATGTTATATTTGAATGAGAATTTTGAAATTTTTGGCTCAATGTGTTTTTTAACACTAATTTAACACAATCTTCATCAAAATAGGGCATATTGTAATAACTTTACAAGTTGAATGGGCAACTTGTCAAAAATTAAAAGTTTAGGGGCAATTTACTAAACCACGACAAGTTTATGGAGCAAATGTGCTAAAAAATCTATTATGTTTGATATGTAGCCCCTCGTTTAATCTCTCATATTCAAAGATATTGAAATTAAAAGATAAAATCATTTTGGTACCATGTATTATAGTGAAACATACTTTTGGCACTCTATTTTTTTTTTGATAATATTAAAGCGGTATCTCAACGTTTTTAAAAACATCTTTTTGGTATCTTAAAACTGATTTTTGAGATATAAAATGACCGTAGTACCATTTTATTTAATTAATAAAAAACTAATAGATATAGAAAAAAATCTTGAACTTTTTATTTTATTATTTTATTTTAAATATTTTAACGTTTTAAAATATTTTTAGATTTTTTTAAAAATACTTATTTCTATTTAATTGATAAGAATGGTAGTTTGAACATTAAAATCTTAAAAATTAACTTTAGGGTATTTGGAAGATGTTTTTAAAAATTTGTCAATGTACCATTTTAATATTATAAAAAACACGGAGTATCAAGAGCGTTTTTCGCTATAATACATGGTACCAAAATAATTTTATCCTTCAAATTAATATTCTTTAAAGAATTTAAAAGCCTTCTCTAATCTAAATTCTCTATGTACCAAAATTATTAGTCCTCTCACCCCTCATCTCTTAAGCCCGTTTAGTTTGTTGATTTAAATTTTTAATTTTAGTTGAAATGCGATTTTATGTGAGAGCTTTTTGCTATAATAGAAAGTTAGATGAGACTATTTCTAAGAGTTTTTTACTATATAAAATTCAAATTTTAAACTCAAATTGATAAAATGAACCAAACTTTCGTCTAACTTTTTTCATCATACCGAACATGCTTCTCAGAGTATTATGGGGTTGTTCTTTTACAACGAAACTTAAAAAAAGTTTGAACTCGAGTTACAACTTTATTTAAGTTCATGTTCTTTTGTAAAATTTGAACTCAAGTTTGGGGCTAAACTTGAGTTTATAAACTCGAACTCAAGTTAATGAACAATATTTTTTCTATTCTTAAAAATATCATAATTTTTTCGTTTTAATTCTGATTAAGATGATTTTTTTTCTATGCATTCACAACGAAAATACGAATAAAACCTCGCTTATATATCCTATTAAAATTTTTTTTATCACTATTGAGTTTTTATTAAAATACTATTTAAATATATATTTAAGTTTTGATCCACTCAAACACCTCGTTCATTTCACCGATTCGAATATTCAGTTTTAGGTTTCTACAGTAAAAAGCTCTCAGAAAATATCACATCTAACTTTTTTTGCTATAGTGAAAAAATTTTCAGAAAATGTCACATCTCAACTCGAATTGAAAACTCGAATCCGCAAAGTGAACGAGTTCTCAAATCATAACTTAAATATGCACGTCCAAACGTAAACTCAAATTACAACTTAAACTTAAATTATAATTTAAATTCAATTTAAAATTATTACTCAAATAACCCTATCTCAAAAATATAGAAGAACAACCCTCTGTAACTGAAATGTACCAAGCGTATCTCTTCCATCGTCATATACATCATACATTTGAGTTTGCAGGCACTTGCTTTGAATACTGTAACGATTGGTAAACTGTAATAAATAAATAAATAAATAAATAAAAAGAGGAAAGGCTTTATATAATAGCTTTGGACAGCCGCGACTCTGTGGATAAGCCCTGCTAACCCGTAATTGTCCCTACGAGACCATTACATCACGCACCCACCATCCCATCACCCATTCTTTTGAGTGTCACGTGTCATGTCAGGGTCATGTCATGTATGTAACAATGTTCAACTGCACACACACTCACATATATATCATATATATGTATACATACATACGCATATGTCATATGCATTTTCAAGCTATAGATATACATGGCAGCGTGGTAATGATGACGTAGACTAATAAATGAAGTTAAAAGAAAAACAAAAAACTATTTTATTTTATTTTTTTCTGGAGAAATTAATAATATTATGGCATCAGCTTTATAAAAAATTAAAACCGAGGACGCATGCAAAAACCTCATCATGGTGTCCTCTCTGCCCCCACGCAAACCTCTCTCTTCCTCTCTCATGCCTTTCTTTAAGTAGTGTTTATTTTAAAGCTTCTGATTCGCGCATCTTCTACCCTCATTGCCCCTCGAATCCAACTTATTTACAATCTTGCACCTCGCCTTCATTTCCTCCTCACGACTCTATCCACGTTTGACAAAATTGCCATCGTTAGCCATGCATGATGATATATCATGGATTGCACAATTTCTTCGTACCACCATTTCATGCTCACCAATACTTCAAACGTGATTCTCAAGGAAAAAAAGCCGTACATTACTTAACTAATGTGGAAATTTCAAGTGTTTACTCATCCAAAAATAAGATCTAGAGAAAAAGATTTCACGGGTTTGAATCACAATTTAAATTTTTATAATGTAGTATTTTTTCTTATTAAGATTCCACGCATTTTATCAATTTAAGTTTAAAATTTGAGTTTTGTTATAGTAAAAAGCTCTTAAAAATAATCACATCTAAATTTTTTTACTACAGTAAAAACCTATCGCATAAAGTCACATCTCATCTTAAATTAAAAACTCGAATCAACGAACTAAACGAGCCATAAAATGAATTTGTATTCAGACTTTTTATATACAAACTTTTAGTAGTAAACTTCCAAGTTGAATAGAAAATTTTAGGAGTGTACATAGATCAGATTACGAGGTCTATCTACAATCCAATCTGTTTATGCGGATTAGAAAAATCTCAGTCTGCTACCAATCCGTCAGACTCTCAATCCAAAATAATTCAATCTGAATTTGCGGATTGGATTATACGGATTGACAAATTGACTTATGTTTTCAATATTCTCATAAAATTAAATACAAACATAACATAACTTAAAATTTAAATAGTTTTACAATTCATTACAACACAATTTAATATAATACATATATAGTTAAATATGTATATATACAATTAAGAAAAATCTCTTATATATATTATTAAAAATATATAAAAATACATATAGTATATATATTTTGAATTTACAGAAATGTTCATTCCGCAATCTAATCCATTAATGCAAAATGAGAAAATCTCAATCCCTTACTAATTAAAAACTTTTTCAATCCAATCCGCAGCGGATTGAATTGGAATATACGAATTGAACGGATGGGCAGATTTTAGTGTAAAAAAGAATTCCATGGGACAAATTCACTGGAGGGTAATTTAGTCTACTCACAGAAATTTAAATTTACTCGAGAAGAGAAACATTTATTATTTTTGATTAAAAAATAAATAAAAAGAAAAAAAGAGGGAAAAGCGTTTTTACACCATTTCCCTCCACAGTGGAGGAAAAAGAGAAGAGTCTGAGCGGAAAGTGACGAACCAATGAAAAACAACACAACAACAACACCAACACCAACAGCACCGAAACAGCGAACCTCATCAACACAGCTACAGCTGCGAACAGAACAGAGATAGCCACATGAATCATCCCCAAACCAAAACCAAAACAAAAAACAAAACAAAATAAATACAAATTTCTCTTCTAAAACCTTTTTTCTTCCACTTTTATCATCCTCTCTCCCTCTGCCCTGCCTCGAACTCCAAAAAAAAAAAAAAAAAAAAGAAAGGAAAAGCATTTTGTTTTTCTCTCCCTTGGCCTTCCGAACCGTTTCAGTAATTTTTTGGAAGAAACAAAATCGCAGAGCCCGTGATTTCCCTCTTTTGACTCCTAAAAAGAAAGAAAGAAGGAAAAAAAAAGGAGCACTCTTTCTTCAATCACTTTTCTTTCTTTCTTCTATCATGGCTTCGAAACCCTAGAAAATGTCTCTGATATCGCGAGCGAAACGGTGAAGATCGGCGACTCGGAGATCGCTGGTGATGGGGAATCGGAGTGGCAGCCGAGTTGAATCGGGAATTTCTTTCTTCTTCTGAAAAAAAAAGAAAACAAAAAAATTAAGAGAGTGCTTTTTGGTGCTTTGCTACGAAAGTGTTGTCTGGATTCAGATCGTCGTCGTTGGTTTTCTATCAGCTTGATCGAGCTCTGATCTCGAAGATTTCTTATGCGTTCGTTCGTTCGTTGTGTTTGGCGTCGCCTCTCTTGTTTCGGGAAACAAGCGTAACTGCCTCCCAGTTAAGGATACTTCTGTCCCTTCGTCGCTTTAGTAAGTCAACTTCAAAAGAGCAAAAAAAAAAAAAAAAGTTTTTTCCTTTAATGCTCTAGAAGTGTTCCGAGGTAGTTTGTTGTTGCTAGGAGGAAAAGAGAAGCGACGTCGTATTTGGGTCTGGGTTGTTTGTTTGGGTGGAACAATATTGAGAAATGGCTATGTCCTGCAAGGATGGTAAACCGGGATTGGACAACGGTAAGTATGTGAGGTACACACCTGAGCAGGTTGAAGCCCTTGAGAGGCTCTATCACGATTGCCCCAAACCCAGTTCCATTCGTCGTCAACAGCTCATTCGGGAATGCCCCATTCTCTGCAACATTGAGCCTAAGCAAATCAAGGTCTGGTTCCAGAACAGAAGGTAAAAACTGGAATTTATGTTTTGGATCTTATTTTTATGCGACTGCTGTGGGAAAGTAAAGATTTTTGTTTTGGATTTTGATCAATTTCTTTCGATTTCATTAGTGGGTTGTTTGTGTTTCGGTTTGTTCAGATGCAGAGAGAAGCAGAGGAAAGAAGCTTCGCGGCTTCAGGCCGTGAATCGGAAGCTGACGGCGATGAATAAGCTTTTGATGGAGGAAAATGATAGGTTGCAGAAGCAGGTGTCACAGCTGGTGTATGAAAATGGATACTTCCGCCAACATACCCAGAGTGTGAGAAAACATTACATTTGCTTTGCTTCATTAACAATATACATATATAAACAATCTCTATTTTTCCATCATTATCACTAGTATTTTTACTTGTTAGAACTGGTTTGATTTTTTGTGAATTATTATGTGATTTTTTTTTATGGGTTATCCTCTTGTAGACAACGCTTGCAACCAAAGACACAAGTTGTGAATCGGTGGTCACGAGTGGTCAACACCATTTGACCCCTCAGCATCCGCCGAGAGATGCTAGTCCTGCAGGGTTAGTGGGGATGTTGTTGTTGGGTCCTTTTCAGTCATCGTTTCTTGCGACGTCTCTTGTTTTTGTGTGTGTGTGTGTGTGTGTTTTAGAGCCTTATTTGATTTATTTATGGTCTGTGTTTTTTTCAGGCTTTTGTCCATTGCAGAGGAAACTTTAGCAGAGTTTCTTTCAAAGGCTACTGGAACTGCTGTTGAGTGGGTCCAAATGCCTGGAATGAAGGTACCGTAATAAATATTTTTAATAAACCTCTTAATTAAATCAAAGTTTCATAATATAATAATAATCCGGAGAAGCTTAAGCTGTGGGAGGTGAATAGTGTGGGAACTTTCATACTGATTATTGTGAACCCTAAAATATAAGTACCCCTTAATATCAGAAGCTTTATCATAATTTTGAATTAACATTGCTATAATTATCTTGTTACTTGTGTATGAAATATCTGGTACTTCAAACTTGTACGGACGGCCAATTTAATTTTTTGGTTTTCAAGAAAGGAAAAAACGAGAGAGTGACTAATATGATTTTTTTTTTCTTTTTTGTTGTTATCTCTTCTGATTGGCACAGCCTGGTCCGGATTCCATTGGAATCGTTGCTATTTCTCATGGTTGCACTGGAGTGGCAGCACGTGCCTGCGGCTTGGTGGGTCTAGAACCTACAAGGGTAAGTTCACGTAGAAAGCTACCTTATGTAGTACTCTTCTGAATTTGACTGAAGACATTATCACCATATTCTGTTTTTGTTCTAGGTTGCGGAAATCCTCAAGGATCGCCCCTCGTGGTTCCGCGACTGCCGAGCTGTGGATGTTTTGAACGTGCTGCCCACAGCAAATGGTGGAACCATTGAGCTGCTTTATTTGCAGGTGCGTTTGAATTCCACTTGTCATTTTAGTCAGAACAGTCTTGTACTTGAGAATTTTTTTCAACCTTTTCATTGGTGCAGCTCTACGCTCCGACTACTTTGGCGCCTGCCCGAGACTTCTGGTTGTTGCGCTACACTTCTGTTTTAGAAGATGGCAGCCTTGTGGTACGAAGCTCTGAAGACTTAGGAACTTTATTTCATATTTCCAGTATATATCAATTGAAGTATATACATTTACACAGTTGTAAGTACATGGGTATTTTCTTTTGCCCATTTAACTCATTCGTCATGATGTTTAGGTCTGTGAGCGATCTCTTAAAAATACTCAAAATGGCCCAACCATGCCTCCAGTGCAGCATTTTGTTAGGGCGGAAATGCTGCCTAGTGGATACCTCATCCGACCTTGTGAAGGGGGTGGTTCAATCATACACATTGTTGATCACATGGATTTGGAGGTGAGTGTTGAAAGAGGAGAATATTCGGCTGTAATTTGGTTGCTGATCTCTAGGGATTGTCTAGCTGTATTCTATGATCAATTATAGAATTGGCCAACCCTGTCAACTAAAAAAGTTAGCTGTACAATGATTTTCTTTCTTTCTTTGTATCTTTTGTAACCTATAAGTAGTGTTCATATAGATGTCTTATCTGCATCAATAAAAATACAATTTCATCCAATTATTCTTCTCCTAATTTTCAAGTTGTAGTTATTTACATTTGTACCTAGACTATTTCTGATGCGTATATACGAAGGGTAACTTAGTTTACTTCTTTCCATGACTAGCCTTGGAGTGTGCCTGAAGTACTGCGTCCGCTCTATGAATCATCAACTGTTCTTGCTCAAAAGACAACAATGGCGGTGAGATTATCTGTCTGCTTTTATGATAATTGATCTTGCTATATAATTAAGAGAGGAAACTACCAAATGAAGTATCTGTAATGATCTTTTTTTTTATTTTTTTATTTTTTATCTTTCTCCAGGCTTTACGTCAGCTAAGGCAGATAGCCCATGAGGTTTCTCAGTCTAATGTCACAGGCTGGGGTAGACGTCCTGCCGCTCTGAGGGTGCTAAGCCAGAGGCTAAGCAGGTTGGTGTGTTATTTTTGAGTTAATCTCTTTCTCACTTGGCGGAGTTGTTGCTAATAAGAAATCTAACGGGTGTTATCTGGCAGGGGTTTCAATGAGGCACTTAACGGTTTTACTGATGAGGGGTGGTCAATGATGGGAAGCGATGGCATGGATGATGTTACTATCCTTGTAAACTCATCTCCTGACAAGCTAATGGGTTTAAATCTTTCTTTTGCAAATGAATTTCCAGCTGTCAGCAATGCAGTTTTATGTGCCAAAGCCTCAATGCTGTTACAGGTCAGCCTTGCTGAAATGTTCTTTGTGAAAAATACATTGACCTGCTTAGTTGAATCACTTGTAGCAACTAAATTTTGCCACGTACATACTACATATAACTAAATTGCTGATAACATTTCTTTTGTGAAGAGTGGCTTGGTACGAAATATTTGCTTATCTATTGTATATCAATAGTCTATTGTGCCCTTTTATTTTAGTCTTCGGTTCACACTAACAAGTCAATATGATATGTACGGTCATGCTTATCCCAAAATTTAATTATGGTGAATGATGGTGCACCGTTGAAAACTTTTCCAGAATGATGTCATATGGTTGCTAGTTGTGTTTTACCCATCATTTATTACCATTTTATTGAGTTTGACGTTTCTTCCATCATCTGTGTTTTGCTGTTTCTTTTTTCGCAGAACGTTCCTCCTGCTATCCTTCTTAGGTTCCTGCGAGAGCATAGGTCAGAATGGGCAGACAACAATATTGATGCTTACTCAGCTGCAGCTGTTAAAGTAGGCCCCTGTAGTTTAGCTGGTTCCCGAGTAGGAAGTTTTGGGGGTCAAGTTATACTTCCCCTGGCTCAAACTATTGAGCATGACGAGGTAATGGTTTTGAGGATAAATGATAGCATCACTCTTATAAAAATGTCTAGGACCTGAACTTGTATCATTTTTATTTTCTTTTAGTCTTCTATTTTTATTATGTAATGTCCTATGACTCTATTTGCCATAGTTCTTGGAAGTGATTAAGTTGGAAGGTGTTGGCCACTCTCCTGAAGATGCAATGATGCCTAGAGAAATGTTTCTTTTGCAAGTAAGTTTTATTACTCCATTGGTTTTTAATGGTTCATTATGTTGATGGTCAATTTTAATATTTGCTCGCTCATAGATGGGCCAATGTTGTTAACTCCTGCAAGGCATTAGACCAAAGGGGAAAAAATGGTTTATTGGACTCTGTTTTATGACGAAATAATTACTGTGATTTTCGTGTCTCAATAGTTGTGCAGTGGAATGGATGAGAATGCTGTTGGCTCCTGTGCTGAACTAATTTTCGCTCCAATTGATGCGTCATTTGCTGATGATGCACCTCTTCTGCCTTCTGGATTTCGTATAATTCCTTTGGATTCTGGAAAGGTTAGCCTTGTAAGAATTTATTAGGGCAGGGTTCTTAAGTCGATAATGCAAATTCTTAACGTGTAATTGGAAAATATTGCAGGAAGCCTCCAGCCCAAATCGCACCCTTGACCTGGCATCTGCTCTTGAAATTGGCCCAAATGGAAATAAAGCGACTAATGATTATTCTGCAAATTCTGGCTGCGTGAGATCTGTGATGACCATAGCATTTGAATTTGCATTTGAGAGCCACATGCAAGAACATGTAGCATCCATGGCAAGGCAATATGTTCGCAGCATTATATCTTCAGTTCAAAGGGTTGCATTAGCACTCTCACCTTCGCATTTGAGTTCACATGCTGGTCTTCGGTCACCACTTGGTACACCTGAGGCACAGACACTTGCTCGTTGGATCTGCAACAGTTATAGGTGAATATCTCTCTCTCTCTCTCTCTCTCTCTATATATATATATATATATATATATATATCTGTGTGTGTGTGTGTGTCTTGTCCCTTACTCCCATTCCGTCTCTCTTTCTGGAGAAAGGGTGCTTCATGCTTGGGTTATAAGAAACATTTAGCTTTCGAACATGTCATCATGCTGCCAGGTTTAGGTTCTGAGGGCCTTCGCATCACGTCCGATCACTATTATATGTCTTACGGTCTTGTATTTGTTGCATTGCAGCATACTAGATCATTTCATATTGTTTTCCTCCACTTGCACTTTGCATAAAGTCATAATTAGTTGAATAAAGTGTTAATAAGAAAGTTATTTCTTAGATACTTATGTCACTTCACCAATGCAGGTGCTACTTGGGTGTGGAGCTACTGAAGTCCAGCGGTGAGGGGGGTGAATCTCTTCTGAAATCCTTGTGGCATCACTCAGATGCGGTTATGTGTTGCTCTTTGAAGGTGTGCATATATCTCTTGAAAACTCCAGACAAAAGTCTCTCTTGTTACATCCACATGCACTCACACTACTTGCACTCATGCTTACCCAAATTTTTTATCCTCTCATACTTAAACTGGGATCATACACGATGCAATGACAAACACAAACTGGGCCTTACTCATTTGGAACACGTGGATTTGGAAGTACTGATGTATATAAGACCTACAAGCTTCGTAAGATATGGTCTGATAGTCGAGAATTTGAGATTTAACAAACTGAAATAAAGCATCTTACGAACAAAATGTGCATATGCTTTGGCCTTTGGCCCTTGGGTTGAAATCATTATTCATCTGATCCAAGAGGGGGAAAAAAAAAAAACAACAACAAATACAAGCCTTAATCCCAAATTAATTGGGGTTGGCTATATGGATTTCTCGTTTCCAATCTGCTTTATTAAACACGAGACCCTCCTAAAGCCCTAGATCTTGAAACTCGTGCCTAACTACGTCAGTCCAAGTAATTCTTGGTTTACCTCTCGCTCTCTTAGTACTAAAAAAAAAAAAAAAAAGTGTGCGCCAATTTGCCTATATTTGCCAGCAAAAAATTTTCATTCCCATTGTCAGTTGGTGAGGTTAGTTTCTGTGTTCATCTCAATCTAGGACACCTTTTCAGCTTCACATAGGTCAGAATCTCTAGCTTCTGTGTCTACTTTTAAAATGTGAATGATAAGTTTGATTCTAACCTCCATTTTCTATGCCCTTTTCTTACGCTTGTATGCAGGCACTGCCAGTTTTTACTTTTGCTAACCAGGCAGGGCTGGACATGCTTGAAACTACCTTGGTTGCGCTACAAGACATAAGTCTGGAAAAGATCTTTGATGATCATGGTCGAAAGACGCTTTGCTCAGAATTCCCACAGATAATGCAACAGGTCTAGCCTTTGCTTTTGTTCCCTTTATTTTACCGTAAAACTAAATATTGCTTTTAGACTTGTAAAACTTTGTTCTGATTTATTATGGTATCTTCTTGTAGGGTTTTGCTTGTCTTCAAGGTGGTATCTGTCTTTCAAGCATGGGGCGGCCCGTGTCGTACGAGAGAGCAGTGGCTTGGAAAGTGCTGAACGAAGAGGAGAACGCCCACTGCATATGCTTTATGTTTATGAACTGGTCTTTTGTGTGATATTCAGACAGGTCAAGTTACAGAACTACTACTTTGTTAGCTGTTAGACTTTAAGAAAGGAAGGATAGAAACCTTAAATGTGTTTTCTTATGTCTGTCTTTTGGCTATTATGACGTTGGATGTTAAAACTGAAGTTAGTTCCAGACACACTCGTTCTTGCCTACGTTGCCTTTGTTTCTTCACGTTATAACGTGATTAGTTGATGTTATTATCGTTTCATTTACTGGTTCCCTATTTGATGCCTTCTTGACTAATTAAGTTGAGTTGTGGCTCTTAATTATCCGTCCTATCTACTATAATTTGCATACTTGGCCCGAGATCAATTATTTGATAAAGGGGCATTTAGTTTATTTTAAAAACGGTTTTTAAGTAAATAATATATTTTTGAGACCGTTGAATTAAGTGGCATTTTTTTATTTATTTATAAATATTCATTTATCTGTTGTAAATGCAGTATTTATTGATAAATATAACATTTATGTTAAGTATTTACTAATAAATATTGTATTTACGGCGGGTAAATAAATATTTACCATGTTATTTACTGAAAAATCTATGATTATTGTTATTTTTTCAGTTGTCTGGTTCAGTTCATATAGATTTTTTTTTTTTTTTTTTTTGTTTTGTTTTGTTTTTGCATGAATGAAAGATGAACGTATAGTCGGCTGTCTAATGGCTCAGATATTGTACACGATTACGAACTCGCATGGGGGAATCACACAAGATAGGCCATTGGTCGAAATTTCACAACTTGCTTTCTTTATTCTTCTCTTCTTTCATGTTCGGACCGACCCTTTGCTTTCTGATATCTCCCCTCATTTAAATCTCGTTATAATCAATTCTTATTTATTCAGGTAAAACATTACGTGTATCATAAGAATATATTGAAGAAAAAAAAATGCGCGTGATCTGATTATAAATTGTGTGTGGTACTTTGAAGGCCGTCATGTTTACTTTTGAATTGTGCTTTCTGAGAACCTGAGAATTTGTGGGGAACAGTAGACTAAAAAATGTCATAGATGCATGAGAGCCAAAGCAAAAGGGAGTGATGAAGCTTATTTCACTGAACGGATTTGGTTGAAGCCTGAACTTATGTTAATCAGATACATGATTTTCATTATGGGAGTAACTAAAAATAATAAGCTAAAGACTTCCCGAGGTTATACCAAAGCGAGAATCCGATACATGCATAGTTGTGGTTTTTTCAACAAGAGAACAACTGAGCTTTCTTCACAAGACAAGTACTAATTATTATGTAAAATGCCTATGATCGTAAGCTAGATAAATGACATTATTTGGTATGACTAACTGAAGATCAGACTATATACATATACATATATAAATATATTATATTAAATTTTATTGTGTTTGTCTTTAGATTATTAGACTGGATGTTGAGACTGAAGTTAATTCCAGACGCTCGTTCTTGCTTACGTTGCCTTTGCCTTTTCACGTTATAACGTGATTAGTTGATGCTGTCGTTTCATTACTACTCTATTTGATGCCTTTTTGATCAATTCAATTGGGTTGTGGCTCTTAATTATCCGTTCTATTCCCTTTTGCATGCTTTGGCCCGATCGCGAAATATTTTGATGATCACTTTTTGGAGTATAAAGATGACGTCTAGTAGGCTGTCGAATGGCTCAGATTTTGGACACGAACACACGTGGGGTGATCACACAAGATGCGACCATTAGTAGATGATATTGAACGGTTGATATTTCATGACTTGCTTCTCTAATTATTAGTTACATGTGTGGACCGATCCTTTTCTTTCTGACATCTCCCGTTCTTTAAATCGTTAAAATAACTCCTTGATTATTCTATATAAGACATTACGTGTATCATAGCAATGTATTGACAGTAGGGGAAAAAAAAATGGCGTGTTAATGTGCTTATAAATTGTTTCCGTTGCTTTGAAGGCTCTGTTATGTGGACTCTTTTTATTTATTTATTTTTTTTTATTTTAAATGTACCGGGAACATTAATAGATTTATTTATGTTGTAGAGACGCGAGATCCAAAGAGAGAAGAAGGTATGACGTTGAACAGGTGAACTTGTAATTAACTTGATGCATGATATGGCAAGAGGAAAAAGAAAAATATGCCAGAACGAATATATAGCAGAACATTAATTATTTCATTACTAATTAAAGAATAATACAACTGATTTTATTAAAGCTCCAACTTACGTTAATCAGATACAAGATCTTCATCACCAGGTAGGCTAAAAAAAAAAAAAAAAAAAACTAATTAATAAAAGACTCTTGAAGTTAGACCAACGCAAGAAACCCTATACGTGGTTGTAGCTTTTCAACGAGACTTTCAACTAAGCCTTCTTTACAAACATAAGATGCCCATGATAAGCTAGCTGGCTAAAGGACATTATAATTTGATATGACTGAACCGAAGATCAGACTATATTGAATATTTGAAGAAAACAAAAGGCCAAATCCTCATAACCGGCCAAGCTGGCGTACGTTGACTCCAATTAGTTCAACAAAATTACAAAAGCACGGTAAAACTTCATGATCTCCACCTAAAAAAAAGCAGAATTGCAGAAAAATCCTAGAAGGGTGATATCGAAAGGTGGAGAAACAGCAACAAAATAAGCATATATTACAACACGTACGTAAAAGCCCTTGGATAATATTAAAACATAGGGAGAGAGAATTAATTTGAGAAAAACCCAACAAGGACTTTAAAAAGGTCATAAGCTAATTAAATATAAAATATAAGGAGAGATCCAGGGTTAACAAATACAAAACCCCACGTCCCATTTCATGTAAAACCTTGCTGGCATGCAAATATTGGCAAGTGCTCAAGAAGAAGTAGTCATAGTTAGATCCCTCATGTCCCTCGTGATGGCCGGAATACAACTCGAGCTCCGAGCGATCCCGCCCTTCTTAGCACCTCCTTTGTCCCTAGGGCTAATGGACTTTGCCCTAATGTTCCTTCCATCGAGCTTGCTCTTCTTCAGCATCTCTCTCATGGCCTCGGCTTGGAACAGCACAGGATAAGCCCTGCTGTACTTGTTGAACCTAACGCAGGCGTTCGTGTGCGCCGCCAAGGCCTCTTCCTTGTTCTTCCCTCCACTCTTCTTCAGTTCCTCCTTCACCGCCTCCGCGCACAGCCCGCAGACCCACTTCCCAAGGAACTTGTCCCGCACCCGGTCTATGTACTCCGGCGTGCACTCCTCCACCATGCCGCAGCACTCGCACTTTGCGTCCTCCCCCTCCGATATCGGCGGCAGCCCCTTCATCTGGTCCATTGCCATGATCTCGGCTTCGGCCTTGCTCAGCTCGAACGAGATGTCCGACATCGTGCGGTGCAGGCTCTCCGAAGACAGCCTCGGCGGCTTCGACGTCCTGGAGTAAGTGCTACTGATAGCCTCTCCGTGGGGTGCCATAATGGATTAATAAGAATGTAGTTCTTTTAGTAGTAGTAGTAGTAATGAGAAAGTTTGGTGTGTTAGGACTTATTAGGGTCGCGTAATAGTGTATAGTGGAAATTATAAGTATTACGTGCGTAACATGAAGTTTATTTATAGTGGCTGTTTTGGGATCAAAGACAATGAGTTTATGTGGATCTTGGGAGCCTAGACGTCATTTGTCAATGGAAGCGTGAATAAGTGCTCGTGAAGGTGCTAGATTTTTCGAGAAGTAGTTGGAGGAAAAGCAAGTTAGGGTCTTGCCTTGTAGGTTTGAAATAAATGTAGCATGCAAATTCATGGTCGATGGGAGAGTTTCTTTTCTTTTATTCATAATTTATTATTTTTTTAATCTCCCAAATGGAGTTATGATGAGGACGAGGTGGTATTCGATTGGTACCATGAGTTTAATTTGCAGGGTAGTTGGCCGTAGGAGACCTGTCTTAGACGAGGGTCTTGGTTAATTAAGACCTCACTTAGCTCCTCATGGGTGAGCATGATCACATGGCCTATTATAGGCCACAGATATTGAACCTGTGGACCAAATAGCTTCAATCCCTTGACCGATATTTTTGAGTCAATTTTATTTGAACGATTTATTTATACACACTTAAGTTAATTAGTACTTACAAATTTTATCCACAAATCTCACAACAACGACTTAGTTCTATTAAGTACAAAATGTTTTCTTCATCATGTTAACAATTTTTAAAAGTTCACCTCAATATAAGACTACGTTTTCTTTCAGCCGCTGTAATAATTCAGTGTAATAAGTTTATAAGAGAAAATTGTACACCTCATATACCTTATCCATGAAATCCTATGCGTAAAGCAATAATGCATAATTAATAAGCTTCCCAACTTAAACGAATTTCCCCATTTTACTTAATTTTGCACGAAATTCCTTTAGAGGCTTGGACAAAGTCTTCATGGTTCATTATAAGCCAAAAATGTTGGTTAACTGACGACGTGCGTTTTTAATGGTGGAAGCTTAACTAATTTATTTTTAGGTCATTATCTCTCTGCGCAGAAAAGGGATTAAAGTTGGCCCACATTCACGTGTGCACTAATATAACCACAGAAATGAGGGCATGCAGAGCTTAAAAAGCTGTTTTGGTAGAGTAAACCATGCAAGAAAAGGACTGCTTCATATGAGTTTCCCTCACAACCATGCAGTGTACTCGGCCTTCACGAGCGGCAAAATCAATCATATCAGAAAGACGTTTCATTAAAGTTAGGTACCAAAAAAAAAAAAAACTACAAATTCATAAATCATATCAGAAAGACGTTTCATTAAAGTTAAGTAAAGTAAGCCCGCGTTTGTATTATTAGTTTATTTCAGTTTAACTCAATTTAAACGGTGAACACAATTTGAATTAGTGTTTGATAAGTATATAGTTTGAATTATATTCTCCGTTTAAACTAAGTTGAACGGTTCAACTTAGAGTTTAACTCTCCCCTCAAGTTCAATCATTCAAACTATTTTTATATAGTAAAAAAGTGCCCACTTTCTCTGTTTTTCACACCTATCAAACACAAATTTAAATTCTATTTTATGTTCAAATTAAAATTTGAACTACACATTCAAGCGTCAATTTAAACTATAATTTAAATCAAGCAGTTTGAATTATTCTATTCAAAATAAAAAATTTAAACTAGCATATCAAATGAGGTTAAGAGTCTTCATGAATTCAGAGTTATGATGTAAAAAGGTACTGATCTGTACATTATATGTTGGTTTCTTAGGATGGCAACCTATATATGTAAAACCTAACTTTCCACGTTTAGAAATATAGTGACGGGTCAGGCCCCAAGTGGGTTGTTGAGTTGCTATTAATGTAGTTCTCATGTCACTACAGTGCAAGAACAAAACAAAATATATAGGCTTTTGTGCTTGGTCGGTTCTGGGTAGTGGACCAACAAATTGTACATCGGGAACTTCACTAAGCCCAAAGTTTTGGGTTTTGTAAAGTCTTGTCACACTTGTGGTTGTTGCTCCAATATTCATTTGTTGCGTCTCCATATGACGGAAGCAAAGTGAAAATGGCAGATCCATCAAAACACATTACGTGGGCATTATTATCGGTTTCTTTGCTTGATAGGTTTTCATAGAAAACTTGAATAGTTTTTTAAACTTTTTCTTTTAAGAAAATACGTTGTACTAAAAAAATTTGAATTGTGATTTAAATTTATGAAACAAATTGTTAAGAATTAGACACGCTAACAGGCCATTTGGTTTATAAGTTTAAAAGAAAAATTTGAATAAAAATTTAAATTATGTGAGAGAATACACTGTAGTAAAAATGTTCGAACAATAGTTTAAATCTATGAAACAAAATTGTGGTAATTCTACATAGCCAAAAGTGATAAAATCTTGAAAAATAAATCAAGAAAAATCAAATCGTGGAAAAAAAAAATCGATACATAAAATTTATAGAAGTTATATGTCCTAATCTTTCAGCCGCTCATGCAGTTTCTCAATATGATGAAGAAGTTACAAGAGAAGTTATAAGGTTGATCTGTAAAATCCTCTGTTAAAAATAATAAATTATCAGGGCAATTAATTAGACTTCACTTCTTATTATTGACTTTGACTTTTGAGTAGTAGTATTAGAGTGCCGACCACCTCATACATATATTTAGCTTTATAATCTTCTATATCTTGTTAAGCCTAAATATGTTTGCTATTATTGGCTTTGACTTTTGAGAATTCACAACTTGGGTTGTGTATTTAAGAGAAAAATATTATAGCAGAAAAAGTTAAATTTAAATTTTTGTGAGAGAAAATACTGTAATAGTAGAACTTGAGTTGTGAAAAGAACATGGCTTAAATTTCTGTCTTACACAGCTCCTTATGGAATAAGCAAATGATCATAAAGAGATCCAGAACGCGATAAACTTGTTTAGTTTATGTCATATGTACAGAGAGCTTACAAGATATAGGATAGGATAGTTATGCTCATTCTATGTTTTAAACAAGTTCTTCAAACACAGACACAGAGATATATATAGATAGATATTTTTGACAGTTCAAAATTACCAAAAATAGATGGAAACACCCCTAAGCTCACCAAAGGTAATCTCTAATGCATGAACGGAAAAAATAATTGAGACAAATAGAGAAAGAGAGAATTCAGAGTACCGATCCATTCTTAAAGTACACAACAACATAAATGACAGAATATATGGAAGGCTTACTAAGTGGTGGTAGCCTCCTATTATAGCCCTCTATATCAGATAATTATAATGAGTAATGTTGAATAAACTCCCTGGGATTTATCCTTGATTTAGTCAATTAATCTTAAAGGTTGTCGTTATATTCAATTTATTGAATTTGATTATGAGAAGTTTCAGAAAGAAAATCTCATGATTCAAGAGATTCTAACAGCTTAGCTATCACATGATGCCCAACTTCCCCCAATTAAGTTTGGTGTCGTTTTGACCTTGTGATGATCTTGCTACGCTTCGAGATGCATATCGTCAAGAGAAAGGGGGAAGAAAACATGGTGATCTCCCAAAATTAGTTTGGTGTCGTTCTGTACAATAGCTTTTTTCATATGAAAAAAAGTAGTAATAATAATAATATAGCAACAAAGAACCAACATTATATAAATAATTTAATAATCAGGCAGCCATGATGTGGACTGGGAAGCCTTCATGATGCTACATTGTATTGAGAATATATTACAAATTTAGGTGACTTTTAACGTCGTTTCTTTGCTAGCTCACATTCGTGAGGAACTTTCATTTCTGGACCGTAATGTCCGGTCCAACCCAAACGAAAAGTTAGGCCCAAACCCAATCCAATAGAAGAGTACCCTTTTGTTTCGTTTAAAATAAAAAAGCAAAGTACGTGAAAGTGAACATGCTAAGCAAACTAAAAAGGCATAGAAAGAGCTCGGCTGCTCCGGCACATTGAAAGCATGTGTTGTACGCTCCTGTACCACTCAATCATACTTGCACAATTTTAAATTATACAAATCAACCCTTTCGCGAAAGAAACGAAAGCTGAAATTACAACATTACCCTTCTTCCTTCCTTTCTACTTCCACAGCCTCCATCGTCCCCTTTATATACCAACTCCTTCCTCTTCTTCTCTACAACCCAATTAACCCACAACAACAACAACAACAACAACAGCAACAACAACAACAACAAACAAAATATCAAACCCTCTCTCTCTCTCTCTCTAGACACAATCTCAAGAAAAAAAAGAATTCCCTCTCTCTCTCTCAGAACTCAAAAGAGAAAAAAAAATGGAACAAAATCTGCCGGTGATAGCGAAGAGAATATGGGGAATAGTACGGGTGGTGTACTTCATGCTGAGAAAAGGCATAACCTCAAAGAGAAAGCTCCTCCTCGACCTCAACATGATCATGAAGCGCGGCAAGCTCGCCAGCAAAGCCGCCCTCTCCAACCTCATGACCTTCCACGTCAGCTCCTCCTCATTCCGCCGCTCCTCTTCCGCCGCCGACCTCTCCGCCCTCCCCGTCGGCGAGTACGAGTTCAGCTGCAGCAACACTCCCAACTACGGCCCCTTCCACCTCATCTCCAAGAACGGCCACCACCACCGCCGCCATGCGCACCACTTCTTCGCTTGCGCCCACGCGCCGCCTACCCACGACGACGACGTCGCTGCAGCTAATGCCATCAAGGCCGTCTTGGAGATCATCAACAACAACGACCAGTCTCTCGCCGCCGCCGTCGAGGCCTCCCCGGCGCTCCCAGGCTTCGGACTCAGCCCCGCCGTGGTCCGCCAGCTGAGGATAACCGACTCGCCGTTCCCGCTGAGGGAGTCCGACGACGTCGACAGCCGCCAAGTCGACGAGGCCGCCGAGGAGTTCATTAAGAGGTTTTACAAGGATCTGAAGCAGCAGAGGAGGAACATGGCTGATTAAGGCGTGTTGATCAAGATTAATTTGGAAGTTTTTAAGCTTTACGTTACGCTTAATTAATTTGGTTCGGCAAGTCATGGTCGCGGCAAATATGATTAGTCTTCTCTATGTTAATGTTGTTGATAAACAATAAACGCATGCATATGATTATTTTTCTAATATAGTTTGTTTTTTGGGTCATCATGAAGTGCTTATAACTTCTATATGTTCTCGAAGAACTTGCAAGTGTTGTGTAGTATCCAATTGTAGAAAGAAAAGAAAAAGGAAAAAAAAAAAGAGGAACAAAAAGGAAGTCATGTAATGAGTGAGAGATTTTTGTATACCACGGTTCCAGAAATATATTTTAGCCTTATAAATGAATTGTGATGGATATTTTAGATTTTTCTTCCTCAAAGTTCTGTACTTTCTAGCTAATAATTAATATGAACTGTGAAGTAATCTTCGAAAGATTTTGTTTATTGAAATTAAGTACCAAGGAACAAGATAATCATCATAATTAATATTAAGAAAGGCACTGAAAAAATGAGTACTATATTCGGTTCAGAACAAGATACCGGTCCTGCCGGAATGAATTAGGTATATACCAAAAAGAATGTACTTAATATCCAAAAGAAAAAAAAAAAAGAATCCGCAGATCATCTTTTCGACGAGGAGGTCCAGTTCCCAAAGACGGTGGCGTGACGTGATTTTCACACACAATAAGCTTCTTCAAGCGAGGTCTCTCACATCTCCTGATGCTTGGGTACTGCCCTACCCTTGTATCCCGCGCTTTCATTCTACGCTAAATCTCGATACCTTTCCCTCGTCTTCAGAGATGGGACGAGACGCAGTCGGGCGCCGGCAGCTGACTCAAGTGCCCCCCGAACCGCGCGAAATGGTCGCCTATTACACGGCTCACTAACTCTGCCTGGGGTGGGGTACCTATTATTCGTCGGCGGTCCGGCGCACCCCTACTCACTTAAAGGATGCTGCTTAATTACGAAGGAAATTCATTCTGAATCTAGAGAGTTCCCCTTCGTTAAGCGCTTCGAGCCAGGAGTGGACATCATCATCATCTGCAGACAAATCCAGATCTTGTAAATTTCAATATCCTTTTCCTCCTGCACCTTTTCCTCGAAATGAGAAAGAAGATGGTACACTCGAATTGTATTATTTAAGTGCTTATTGCTTGCCAAAGATCCTACTTCTACAATTGGGAGGTCACCGGGTTATTAACATAAGTCGTGTTTTCTGTGGTTTTTCCATGTTACAACTTTTGAATACTATTCTATCTAAAAAAAAAAAAAGAGGAAGAAGAAGAATAATAATGTACTTGATGAAAAATTGTTATAAGTTTAATATCTTCTTTCCATTTTCCATGTAGAAAAGCGGCCATTAAATTATTAAACAAGTACTAACAATAAATCCATAATTTTATTTGATTTTCTTGTTAATCTTTTATGATTTTTCATCCTTCTACTTTGAATATAATTCCGAATCAAACTAACTAGCTTGTTGTATTGTTTTTTTTTTTTTTTTTTTTTTTTTTAAATTTTTTTTTTTTTTTTCCCCCTCTATTTTTTCCCCCTTCCTTAGCAGTTTCAAACTCCAATATGTAAAGGTCACCTTAGGTTGACATATCATTGTAACATGTGTAGGTAGGAAATTATTGAAAGGTCTTAAAAATACCATATTGCCCTTGTTTCAAAATTTTATTAGTATTTGTTGCTTTTACAGCCCCAGTACCACTTCCATTACCATTAACATGTCGGGATGTGCTTTTCCACTATGTTAAAAAGACTTAAAAGTGAACCAATAGCTGGCCCCTCCCTAAAATAAAATCACCTTTTTTCAACTTTTTCCTTTTTCTCTCCTTTTTAAATTTTCAACTTTTTTTCTTAATTGAGTTTTAATCAGAAACCCACTTTTGGTTTAAGTTGATAATTGGCTACTCCGAAGATTGTATCCAGAGGCAATATACCCATACCCAAATATGATGAATGCAAATCTAATTGTTTACCAAAAGTGACTAGCTTATACAACGGAGCAGATGATTTTGGCTATCTCTAACAAATTTTAAGACCACAAGTAATGAAAGTTTAATCTAAAAGGTTCCGAGATATGAAACCAGATAGTGGTCATAAAAGTTGTCTATACATATGTACATAATTAATTTAGGGATTCTTGATGAATATACATTAATAGCCAGACTAGGTTATAATACATAGTATATACTAACTTTTTTGAAAAACATTATTACATAACGTTTATGTAAATTTCATACGTTGATGAATCGAAACTTCCATCGGTTTTAAAAAGAGTCTTATGCGTGCTTAAATTGATGTGTCGAAAATTTTTTTTATATCGAGTCTCGTCTTGTATATGTCGTCTTTTCTGTGCTTCATCAGAATTTATTGATGGAATTAATTTTTATCGAGTGTTTTGTATTGTATACCACAAGTATTATCTGTATTATTATCGGGGGTGTATGTAAGACCTTTTAAATGAATAAAATTTTACCTTAAGAAAAATTCAGACGTTGATGCTTAAAATATAAATAAGATTTACGTCAGGGATTCATTTGGAAAATTGTGGATTAGGTGTGACAGATCAAATGGATTTCACTGTCTGCTCGCTAAATCTTAGCATATATATGGGTATATCTTCGCAAGAAATTATATAATCAGTTAGCTTAGTTGACGACATGAACATAACACAAGCTGTCGTAACTGGTTTACAAAACAATAATGTTTGGAGATAGATTCAAAATTTTCCACCGTAGCTAATAATAAGTCAAAAATAAACAATTTCATTAAGAAGTTAATAACGCGTTTAATGAATCTGACTTGGTAAAACCGTACCTTTTCTTTTTCCTGTTTTTTAAGAAAAATTATTTTTTTCATCTAATTCTTTCTATGAGTAAAATTCCAACTCAATCCAGCAGATCAGAAAAGAAAATTAAGGTCATGCACGTAGTATTACATCAACAAATGCGCGCACATACTGACATACGCAAAATATTAATGAACATAATTTTTTGTGTGTTTTATATATATATATATATATATATATATATATGCATGTTTTTTAATTAATAACTAAAAAATTTCAAATTTGGACAATCCTAAATAATTCAATAAACAGCTATCATGAACAGGCCACGGGCCACCGCATCATATTGTAGAGTTAAAATTATTTTCTGGGATGTAGTTCTAGAAATCGAAAGTCAAAAGGTCGTAACACTTGTGTTGCTGTGCATATATTCTTCTTCTTCTTCTTTTTTTATTTGCTTTTTTGTTTTATTTTTGTTTTTTGTTTTTTTTTTTTAAAGAAGGGTCTCTACAAAATAGTCTTTAAACTTTACGCTAAATTCACTGTAGTTCTCTTTAACGTTTAAAACATTTCAAAATTGACCTCAATATATTTGGTAACAGAATTAGTCTTAATATGTTATATTTACATTAAATATGAACGAGATAGATGATGTGTCACCCATGTTCCATTTAAATGAAGGCAGAATGAAAATTTTCATTAATTAGCTTTCAATATTGTGGAATTAACACGACATCTAATTATAAAACTCAAATCACCCTTAAAACCTACCACACACAACTCAAGTGTCGTCTTTTGTCATTTTTTTTAACAACCGGCTAATAAAAGGATTAATTTGTCATATCAATATAGATCGGAGCTAGCTTTAAGATTTTTTAAACAGGAGAGTGACCGAAGTGTAAAGTTTAAAATTATTGTTGAGATTAATCATAAAAATAACCCTAGCGACTATATATCCATCCATTAAAGAAGGCAACATCTCACTCTCCTATGATTGAAACGACATGAGTTATCTACCAGGAATAGGAAAAGTAAAGCCATGCGTCCAATCATCTAAATCCTGTCCTTAAAAGACTAAAGATTCGGATTAAATATTACTTCGTGACTCAATAATTAGTGATAAATCCAAATCCGTTGTTGTCAATCAAATTAATTGTGTAATTATACAGGGGAAAAAAGTAATCAGCTTGCTATTTCTTGCGGGCAAAGATGTTTTGTTTTTGGTTAGCAGAGTTTGAGAAGACTTACAAGTCGTTTCAAAGTTTTTCTTCACATAAATATATATATATATATATATATATATATACACACACACATATATATGGGAGGTGGCAGCACATAAGGCTCCCATAAAGCCAAAAGTTTAGGTAATATGTTAGGTGACAATTGAGAAATTTGAAGCGAAATTGCTTTACAGATGTCACTTTTTGAACTCGCTTTTGGCTTTGTTGACGTGCTTTTTTAATTCGAGAATTACTATAGCAATTGCAGATTTTCTACTAATCTCAATTATTTAGTGAAAACAACGATTATGTTATCTTAATACAAAATAAATACAGCCTCGCACGTGCTACGCGTGTAGAACTTAGCTGTCAAAGGAGAGAGTTCTGTCAATCATGAGAGGCTTTTGGTACCACCCGGACCAATTCCTTTGCTTAACATAGTTGCTTACATAAACTTTGATTGAAGGCTCATGGTTTAGAGTAAACAAAAAAAAAAAAATAAAAATTTCCACTTTAACTACTCATGTAAAAACTACAGTGGAGAAATTTGCCTGAAGAAAATGCTTCATATTCTTATATTATCAAATTTTAAAATATTATTTAACATTAAACATTTAGAAAAATGTGCGCACTTTATGAAAACTATTGTATAAAGATTTACAGACCGTTTCATGTTAGCAAACTTTATTAGCTTTTGCATTTCCAGCCATTAAGTACTCTATGTCAGGAATATTAGATCGATATTTCAATTAGAAATTAATTTTTGTTTGACAAGAAAATGAAAACCTAGCTAATTAATTCGTTCACTCTTTACTTTATGAATCATATACAAGAATGCAAAATAATTTAAGTACTATGCCAAAATTGAATACCTGTTGTTCTAATCAACAAAAAAATGTATCTTATTAAAATTGACTAATTAACCAATTTGAGAATGCATGTTCTTCTTTTTGACCAAAAATAGAACAA